AATTTTTTTTTTTTTTTTTTTTTCCCCGTAAATCAATCTTCACTCTGTCTGTAGCGATCGTACAGCAGATATTCTTCGCTCATTTTTGCTCAACGAATTTTTTTTTTCCCACCATTCGTCCTCTGATAATTAATTGAAAGAGAAAAAATTTTGGAAAATTAAATTTCTTTATATCGCCATTAATTAAGTTCTAAATTTTGCCGATATTTTAGTTGTGAAATTTTCAATAATTAATCATCACAAAATATATTGATAGTACGTGTTCAACTTTTGAATCGCTCTAATCGCTATCAACTGTATCGCGAAAATTATATACCAATCCGATTTCATCGCGAGTATTCATTATGCCGATCGGCCGTTCAGAGTTCAGTACGTGTATAAGCGATACGTGATCCAGTAACGAAAAGTCCTCTAGGTGGTCTACCGAAGATTATCTTCACAGCGCTTATAAATTATCAGCTAATTGAAATGTACACCCGGGTAGTATCTTCCTGGCCAATGGCCAACCTGCTGAGGTACCGGTTACAGATATACAGACAAGACACGACGATCGGGACCGATTTCGCTGTTCTCGATATACTCCATCCATAAAACCTAACCTCTGATAGGGGTACGATCTTCCTCTTCCTGGTATAAAATAAAAGATATATGAAAAAAAAAAAATCGGTATCAACCAGCGAATCGGTTCCAGAACCAGCGACTTCATTAACATCGTCCGCAGTCTAGTTATTGGCGTACGTTAATTTCCATTGATGTCCACAACTGTTTTTTTAGGCCCCCCCGTTTCTTCAGAGACGTACAATGGCCCACTGACAATTCTTATAGGATTTGACAGTAGGACGCCATTTTTGTCTAATTACTATCTGGAGCCATCTTCATGGGTATGGTACCTTAAGATACTCTACTTTGAAGTTGGCGCCATTCCTTTTCACGGTCTCCTTGACAAATGCTAAGAGAGCACGGCAAAGGTCGGACATTGCTGCCAGGCTGAGACCTCAGACGAGAGAAAGAAGAGTCGAGAGAAAAAGGTCCCAACCTGGACATTCGGACCATTCAAATAGCCCGCAACGGTACATTCTTTACCGAACGGGTCCCGGACTGGTCAAAATTGTACAAGAGTCTCTATCAGGTATTCTATTGGCACTGTGTATTACGCCTTGGAATTTTGAACAGACTGGGAAATTGAGGGCAAATTAAATAGTCGATGTTTAATCGATTCCGCGACACCGTAGCTGGGACAGTGTGAGTTTTATTGTGGGGAGCGATGAATTTTTTTTTTTTCGGACTTCCGCAGAAAAATCGTCTAGGTATATTTACCTTGCCGATGGGAAATGTTTATTTATATCACAGACTCGCGCCGATTTTATTTTCGGACTCGAAACGATACTTTAGAATGATCGATCGTTTCATTTAAATCGTACCGGATGAGATTCTCTTCTTGGGTGTCGCTACGATTAATTGACTCGGAGTCGTTAAAACACTATTTAATTACGTACATTAAAATATCACTGTAAAAAAGACATTAGCCAGACCAGTCATCGACTACCGGTGCTCGGTCCTGACCGCGTAGCTGATTTATGCGGTTTGGTAACGATCATTGTCATTATCATTAGAATTACCGATATCAGGCTTCAACCTAGTCAACAATGTAGTCTGTTGGAACTATTTTATATTCCAAGGACTCGTTGAATCTCTAAGCC